ATCAAATGATTTATTTAGAATATAAAGAATTATACATATGGATTGAAAAACTAGAAAGAGAAAATATCAAATTTATAAAACAATTAGACCTAATAGAATATATTAATAACAAAATTTTTGAAGAATTAGAATAGCAAAAAAATGAAATAGAAGATTTAAAAAAGGAAATTGATCAGCTCAAATCTATGAAACTTGAACTTGATTCTATAGTTGTTGTAGAATCTAGAGCAGTCATTATATCAGAATTTGAAAGTTTGCCAAGTTTAGAAAATACCAAAAAATTTAATTTAGAAAAAGTAATAAAGAGACAAAACTAATAAAACTAGTTACTAAAGATGAGCTGAAATCAAAAGAAGCAAAAGTAGAAATAAAAACTTAATAAACCTATTCTTAAAAAATATAAACTGAAGATAAATGAAGTTTTTTTTGAGTAATATAAATAAAAAATATTACAAAAGTTGATACACAAATTAATAAAACCCATGGCTCCACATATTAATCCCTCATGAAAGCAAATAAATGAATAGTTAGATACCTTATATCATTATCAAAGAGAAAAATATCAGAAAGCAGAAACTAAAAAACTAAAAGCAAACAATCATCACTTACATACAAATAGCTGATTAAATGAAGTACAATTAATAATATTCTGTATTTATATTACCTTCAAGTATTAATTTTTAACAAATAATTAAGAAAAGTGTATGAAGAATTAAAAGTATACAGTCTTTTGTTAAATAAAGTTCAAAGAAAGTTGTTAAATATCAAAATAAATTAACTGATATAATTAAAGAAACAAAGATGCATTCACCTGAAGAAAGTGAAACTAATCCAGAAAACCCAATTAAAAAAAAATAAATGTATATGATTATGGTTGATATTCTGAAGAGATATTTTTTAGTAAAATATTTTATGTCAAATAATTATAATATTATTATAATTACTTATAGTTAAAGAATTTATTGAAATATTTGGATGAACATTAAAATCAATTCAAACATTCTAGTTTTTTTTTTTTTTTTTTTTTTTTTTTTTTAAAGTCCAACTTGACTGGAATGAATTTTATTAAGTATTTGTGATAGTATAGTATTGATTATATGAGCGATTCATCTAACCTATTTTTTATACTACCTATCCAATGAATACCCCAATTTTGCCACAATATAACACTATTTTGTCAGTTGCTCTGCTGTGCCCGGGTCACATAGCATCTGATGTCCGCTATGGGACTTGTATTATTATAATTTTCAAGTGGCTTGAGATGTGTGTTCCTTAGTTTTTGATGTTTTTGTTTCGCATTCTTGTTTGTGTATACTATGGTAGATTCTTACTATGTTTAGTCCTCAGAAGGCTGGTTGTACTCTGATATGTGCAAGTCCTATGGTCTTGTACTAACATTCCGGCAATTCAATAGTGTTGCCTTCATTGATCAATCAATAGTCTTTCATTGCTTCATTCTTAACCACTCTTCAAATATGGCCTACAAGGGTTTTCCTTGATTATTACTTTCTAAATTACTTCTTCCAAATTTCTGGTCTGACCCTGTAGTTTCCATCATGACGCTAATGCTAATCAACAGCCTCATACTCAGCTGTCCTCTCTGGTAGCTGTTGTTTTCATGATCATGATAAGATCTTCCATTAATTGAAATTACAACTCATATATTTTTTATTGGTGCAGATGACCGAAGTCTTTTAGATCTCCCATGAGAGTGTTTTTTGAGAAGAGGTGGATGTTTTCACATTTCCATTAGAGGCTTGAGTCTATCGAGGTCTTTCCTGACTTGTTTTAATGTCTTCACATATTCTGAACAGTAGAATCTTTATAATTTCCTTAGCACTAAAACCGGTCAAGGCTGTATAACCTAATTTATTATACTGTAGTCAGACAGTAGGATTTTATAGATTGTATTTTGTGTACAAAGATGCATGTGATAATAAGCATGTATCTTGTACAATGTAACCTATATTGTGAATACTGTTCTCAAGTGGGGTTGAACCAGTAACTTGTGGATGGTGACCTGGGAGTGCACCCACTGCACTATTGATCCACAGGTCTAAGCATTCTAGTTGACTTGTAAACAATATTATAATGATTTATATTTCTATAATAGGATGTTACCAGAAAGTTTGTTGAATTGGACATATAGTTTGAAAGAAATTTCAGAATGTGAATAAAAAAAAAAACAAAAAAAAACAAAAAATTGGTAGTTAAATCCAAAAGATAAAAAATTACCAAATATGAAAAATTATTAATATATTTAGAAAGTGAGAAACAAATTCAAGAAAGTGCATGAATGGGTAAAATTTGGAAAATAGTTAGGTTAGAAGAAAAAAGAAAAAAATCTTGAAAAATATTTAACAAAATAAAATCAATTGAGACTAGTTTTAAAAAAGTCAAGTTAAGATCTTTAAAGAAAAAGAAAAGCAAGTGAAAAAGAAGAAAAAGGAAAATAATGAATAGTTTAGTTAATTGATTTTGTAATTTTTTAATAAATTTTATGAAATTTAAATTTTTTATTGCAATAATTTTTTTGTTGAATTTTTTGTTGCAGTATTAATTTTTTGCTGAATTTTTTTTTTTTGCAAAAATTTTTTATTGAATTTTTTGGCATTATTATTATTTTTTTATTTGATTATATATAAAATATAGTAATTTTTTTGTCAAATTTTTTGTCACAGTAATTTTTTTGTTAAATTTTTTGTTATAGTATCAATTTTTTTATTAAAATTTTTAATTTTTTTGTCAAATTTTTTACCACAATATGCAAAAATTTTTTGCCATAATATTGCTGGATTTTTTACGGAATTTTTTTTTTCACAGTATATTAATATTTTTTTGTTGATTTTTTATCAATATTTTCAATGCTATGTGACAACAATTGGAAATAATTTAACAATTTTTTTATTATTAATTTTTATCAAATTTGGCAATAATTTGATAGCTGAATGATATAATTTTAACTAGTGATAAGTGATATTATATCAAATAAATATTTTTTAATTAATGATAAACAAAAGATTGAAGGATTTTAAATCATTTGTCAAAGTTTTTTTTTTTTTTATATATATTTTATATTTCGATAGTAATATAAATTAAAAAAGGACTTATTAAAAAATCCAATAAACTAATATAAAGACCTATCAATAAACCAATCAATCTTTTGTTTACTTTTTTTTTCTCCTGCAAAAATTATATGTTTTGGTTTCCTGTCTTTTTATCTTGAAAAATATCAAATTTGATAGATAATATTTGAAAAAAAATTTTTTATTTCTTTTGTTTAGACAACTTTAGCAAACTAGATTTTTTAATTTCCTTTAGAAACTAGTCAATATTAACAAATTTTTCTTTATTAATGTAGCAATAGATAGTTAGATAGGAAAAGGTCTTATATATAACTCAATTATGCTTTGATGTAATTCAGTATTTTTTTAAGTCTAAAAAAAGATACTCCCAGATATAACTTTATTATTTAATTACATGTATAAATTATTTGATACTGTATACAGTATATAGACATATAAATAATATTGTGAGATAAAATAAAAAAAAATTTTTTTTATAGACCTTGTTTTTTCACGGAAGTCTGAATCCACGCAACCTGAGTTAATTTAAAAATTAAATTCACGTAGCAAAGTTGATCTGGACAATTCGGCGTACTAGGTACACGTACTGTACAGCATTATTTGATGCCTAAAAAATATCTACCAACGGGTTGCATCAACCCTTCTTTTACACGGTCCTGCATCTAAAAGTTTCAAACGTGACATGAACCCATGTTGCAGTAACTGCATCTTCTAATTCGAATTCATTTTGTGATTTTCGGTTCTTCTCTTCGTACATTTCAAGACTTTGAACTTTACACTTGTGTGTTGGTACGTTTTCTTGCAATTCCAATTCGCGTTAAAAAACCATTGGATAAATGATGTCCAGAATAAGATTTCCATGTTTAGTATGAAGGATGAAGGATGTGCAATTTACCGTACGATCTTATCCAGTTCATAAATTCTCTTTGGCACAGTTTTTTCCAAATTCTACTAATCTTTTTTGAGGAATTTACCATTCAAAATGTTAATCACAATGGTTTTTCTTTATTTGGAATTGTTATTCGATTCTCGGGCGATCACTTTACTCCGTTTTTGTTCCGTTTAAATAAGCGAAAAAAAAAACTCACCGTTTCCCACGGGGTGAGTTGCTATATCGTATAGTGTAGTTTCGCGAATTTCGGATAAACTCGATGTGACTTTGCGATGCGCAATAATGCTGCTTGTCAGAAAAATAATTGCTCACATACCGTAACCCATTTTCCAATATTAACTGCCTAGATCGGGGAAAAATAAAAAATAATTCAAACTCTCATGTGAAATTAAATTTTAACATGAGAATCGCGCCGTTTCAATGACATATTACGTACTTGATTTATTTCATTTTAATACGAAAAATTACATAATTATAATGTGATAGTAATAATAAAGTAATAAAGTAATAATACACATGTGTATAATAGTAAACGTTCGTCTTAAAGAATTCGGCATTTCAGATTGATTTGCTCAATTGCGATGAGTTCGGAACGGTCAAGGTCGGTGAATTTTCCGCCAACACGTTCTCTATACTTACCGACCGAATACCATCTACCTTATTCTTAAAACATGAGAGCGCCTCATCAAGAGGTAGATGATCTGTTAGATTTCTATGTAATTTAGTTCAAGTTAAGTTATTCTTATCGAAACCAATGAAAAGACAATACGGATCCTTCATAGTTTTGAACCCACATCCTTGGTGCAATATTTATGTAGTGTCTGGCATCGAGGTGCAAGTCCATGATATTTGTATTGTGCGCACCGGGACTGAATGCGACACGTAAGGAATATTCTTTGTCGCCGGCTGTACCACGGTGACGTTCGTAAAGTTCGAATGTGATCTGCGTGAGGTCTTTTTTTTTTTTTTTTTTTTTTCAAAAAAAAAAAAAAAAGGTGTCAAAGTTTCTTTCAGAGCACATGTTATCCATCGTGATTGTATTGTTGTCTATCATCAGGATATTTACAGTCTAATTCGGGCACATCATTCTTGGAAATCCTCACGGGAAGGCCTGATAAGAGTACAACGTTCAGTAACGTGTGTACGTGGGACTCTTAAAGTAAAAATTTTAGTTATACATTCGTCAAAATAATGCGTAGGTTTTCATGCATCCGTGCGAAGAACAAAAGTGGGATGATCACAACAGCCCACCTTTTGTGAAATATAGCCTGGTGCATGGCGCGGGACTTGACTTGGAATCCTGAAATGATGAAAAAAGAGAGAAAAAGTCACTTGGATATTTGATTTCACAACAATAATATATGATAATACCTCTAAATTTTTTATGATGTTCTTTAACAACAGACTCGATACCAACAGACCGATTTGAAGTTTGTCATCATTTTCAACTCCATACTCTTGCGGAGCTATATGATCGAATAGGATTTTCGCGCGCCGATACAACTCCTTGATCAATGGTGGGCTCTTGTTTCCTTCATTTTGGTTGGCAAAAATAGTTTCCAAGAATTGCCGGTTGTGCAATGCGTCGTACTTGATTGAATCATATAGTTCCGATATTTTACTCGGATCAAACTCTTGACGATCGGAATCGTAGAAATTCCTAAATAACTTCTCCCAACGTTCCCTGAAAAGTAGTGGATTTTCAGAGCAACACCAGCGTAATTGAATACTTTCATAATTCATACTCTCAAAATTCTTCCGCATTGTTTGTCGAAGATGTTCTATGATGTCCGCAACTTCTTTGATGAGAACGTGTGGCTCGGACATTTCCCTTACGTTTAAAAGTCGGCATAGATGAATTTTTGCATTTTCCATCTGTTCTCTCGCCGCGTTGCTGTCATCCAGCATTTCCCTGTGGACCTCAATAGTTCCCTCTGGAATATCGTCGATATCCAAAAATGTTCGGGCGAATATTTCAGCTATTTTTTTTTTTTTTTTTTTTTTTTTTTTGGATTCGGTTTTGGGGGGTTTTTTTTTTTATTTTTTTTATTTTTTTTTTGGATTTCAGTTTATGGTGAGTGAATGTAGAATTACTAGTCAGTTAACGTTTTAAAGATATGTGTGACGTTGTTTTATTTTCATGAAATCCTAACAAAGTCGAAGCGATAATACAATTGGCTCAAATAATATTTACATAATGTTCTGAGGTGATTACTCGAATTTTATTTTTACAATGATATAAACTATGTACAGAGGTATAGGAAGAATGTCGAACGAACGAACTAATGAATTGCCCATTGAAATATTTGTAATTTAGGATTTCTCCCGCTACAGAAATTTCAATAACGCTGACCAATTAATTCGTCTCATTTTTTTTTTTTTTTTAAAAAAAAAAAAAAAACTCAATATGAAATAATTCTATTTACGATTCCAAATCGCCATATACGTATTTACAAAGAAATCAACAACGTAGCTGATGCATCTTGTCAACGTACCCGTTGCAATGACTCTCCGCTCTGAACTCACATATATCTTGACATCGTTAACGACATTTCGATTCAATACCAATAAATCTTTTCGTAAGTTTTCTCCGGCATCCCGTGATTGATATCGAGCCGAATGCGTGAACTATAAAGGAACCAATGGTCAAAAGAAATTTGCGTAATAGTAAAGAGACGAGCAGATGCCGTATAATAATAAATACCTCGCCACCCCATTTGACAATGAGTTGAAGCTCCACAAATGATCCATCAATCTTATTGTACGAAGGTTTTACTTGAACTTTTGTTCCCGGAAGATCTTTCTTCATTTGCAATATTAATTTGAGCTGCTCTAGTTTCGTCAAATCCTCGCATCTCAGCTTTATGGCCTCCTCCACGGCTCTCGACACCTTTTTTAATTCGGCTTCCTTTCGAAATAAAACATCATCATCAGTTGAGGTGCACAGCAATTCGATAAATGGACTGCTCCGAAAATTGAATTTCATCTTTTGCTTCGGAGTACGATCCGCGTGTCGAAGCACCGATATGAAGGATTTAAGACGCCAAGAATTTTCAAAGTAAAGCTCATTGGGTATTGTATCGATTTTAACCTTTCGTCGTCGAATAGCGTTCAAGAACAAGTTCCTTAGGATCCGCGTGCAATTGTTGTAATAATCATCGTTGCCCTTTACAAAAGACCAACCGTTTACGTCGATAACATAGGATCGTCCATTGACTCTGAGCAAGTCAAACCCGCACACCGTTTGACCAAAGGCGAGACAAATTTCACTTGCGATATTTTTTTCTTCGGGCGTAAGGGTTGTAACATAGCGAACCTCCTTCCCATCATTGTTGCGATGTACAAGACCATCGACTACTGGTGACTTTCGTGTCTCTGCGTGGGCGTAGTAAGGGCCGATTGTGTATACTTTTATGTCTTCCGCATGATCCACGTTCATGAATTGTTCATAAATGTACGAACCATCGGTACGAGGTTCCGACAAATGTGGATCGTATTCACTCGATTTGTCAGACACCTGAAAATTGGGTAAAATTAGATACGCGTATGAACATACATTTTCTAACGCAATAGGCATGCTTGATTCGCTCTTTGTTAATGTGTTATTACAATTCCCGAATGATCTTTTTTTTTTTTTCTCTCACAAGTACCTTTCGAAAAAGTCGACGTCCACCCCCACCCATTTCCGAAGGGTAATATATATTTATATTATGATCTTCACCACTACTGGGCTTTTCAACAAAAGGTTTTCGCAATTTTTGACCGTCAACAATAATGGTATCAGAGTTGATCATCTCAACTTTTGCGGGAGGGCACGGGGTTTGCTCGAGCTGCGTTCCCACATTTTTTAGCACCCGAGACATCACATCCGGATCGATCTTTGGTCCTCCATCTTTACTGGCGATCAAGCGTTTCGGAGTAGGAACACCAAGGATATCTAGTAATTGCAAGACTAGGCGTCTGTCCCACAGGATCTTTTGCATAGGCAAATCGTTCACGCAGAAAGGCTTTCGCAATTTAACGTACTCGATCGCCTTGTCCAGGGGAAAACCGGTGGAAAAGAATGAAATAAAGAAATCGCAGACAGGCCAATTCTCGACATCTAGATGTGATGTAAATCAGGAATGAATAAACGAGAAGAAAGAAGAAAAAAGGAAGGAAGGAAGGAAAGAAGGAGTGCAAAAATTCGAAAGTTTACCTTCATCCAAAATAACCTTGTCACCAAATATTACGGTCTCAAATTCGTTATAATCGAGGAGCTTGTTTAAAATATTTCTCATGGGCTTTGAACGCGCCTTACAGTCCATGGCGCAAATTCCAATGACATCTGAAGAAAGGCAAGATCGTTCTGATTAAAATCAAAATCAAGCGCGTGTTCTCTCTCTCTTTTTTTAGGAAATAAAAGATGATTCACATTTTGATCTGTTGAAATTGGTGGTATCGTTGGTATTGGTGTCGGTGGTGGTGGTGATTTTTAAGGAAGGTAAGGAGGAGGAAGTGAGTGTTTGAACTGTGGAATAAAATTGCGTAGACATGTCCAAATTGTTGACGGAGAAACGATGGAAGAAAATTAAATTTGTACGGAGAAAAGTTATTTGAGGTGGGCATTTTATAAGATGTAAATATTCACACATTGACCATATTTGTACAAGATCTATAGATCGCTTATCCTACACTGGCCTTTATGAGGTCATGCACAGTGTATTGACCTTGATTACTTGTTAACAGGTAGGATAACTGGTTCCCTCATTGCAATTGTCCACCCTTGATATTATATTTAAATATCACATATAAACGATGAGAAACGTAAATGTGTTATTAATAAGGCAAAGGACGAAGGAAAGCTGAGATATCAATAAATCTGATAACTAACAGTGTGTGCTTATGTAATCCGTAATTGTTTTAAATCCTTCCTTTTAATGGTCAAAATTTTTTTAAAAAAAAAGTGTCCTCGTTTTACGTACAATTATTAATTTGGTCTTACAAATGATGTTACATATATGTACACTGTATATGTCTTGTTTGGTTATTGTTATGCAAGGGCACCCACACGCTTGCACAAACGATCACTATATACGGTATACAGTATACAGTATACACTGTACTTACTGTGCAGTGGTACAAATACTGATGTGACGCAGTTTGCCATCGTTTCTAAAACGCCGAAACATGAATTATCAAGATTTATAGTAAATAACATATATGGTAATTGATTTGTGGTTGATTGCGCAGTATTTCTATCGTCCGACTTAACACATTGTAATAACATCACAAGGGGGGGAATAGTGATGTTGATTGACCAGTTGTCAACCTACCGATTTATAGACTATCACGATTGTCTCTATTGAATAGTTAAATAAACAATCAATATCAAAATGACTTCTTTATATAATAACTAAATTCATCTTTATACAGTATATTATCTATTAAATAATTGAATTACTTAAAAAATATGAAAAAAAATCTATTGAACTGGTTCAAACATTTAACTGTAAATCAGATTTAATAAGCGTCATTTTAATTTTTTTTTCTAGATATCATGCTTAAACCTCCTAGTTAAAAATCTTTATATCAAATTATACAAGTGAAAAAAGAAAATTGAAAAAGTATTAAGATGCATAAAAAAATTAAAATACATAAGTATATAAAAGAAAATAAATAATATAAAAAAGAAATAATAGAAAAGGTTTTTTTTTAACATATTTATTAATTTTTCTCTTAAAAATATATCAATTAAAATATTTTTCTTGTTTTTGATTATCTAAAAAACTTAATTTTGAAAAAAAATTTTATAATTATTTAAGAAATATATATATATATTAGAATTTTAAATATAAATATTTGTTCTTTTTTATAGAATCTTGGAAAAAAAGCTTTAAATTTGAGCTTTTTTTTAATAATAAAATTAATATTCCTCTTTATAATTAATATAAATATCTTATTTCAATTATATAAAGTTAAAATAAAAAATTGAATACTTTTTTATAGTTTTGATTTTGTAAATAATTGATTAAATAAAAGTTTTATCTTGAAAAAATTTAGTTTCAATATTAATATTGTGATCAAATTTATATTTGACTGGTGTGTCCAAGTGGAATTGCTTTTAAAAGGACAATTCCCAAAGAAA